CTCAGTAGTATCCTCCAGATTTTCCAGTACTAGGTAAATGGAAACTACCCATGATGTAAGTTGTTTGTTATATAACACCTTTGATATTGCAGAGATAGGCTCGTGAGAAAAGATTACATGAGTGTTAAGGAATTTGTGGTTAATATATAGATTTTGTTTTCTATAGTCACTGGCATGAGATTAACTATAATTTAAAAATTTTTTTATTGATTTTAGAGAAGAAGGGAGAGGGAGAGATAGAAACATCAATGATGAGAGAGAATCATTGATCAGCTGCCTCCAGCATGCCCCCCACTGGGGATCAAGCCCTCAATCTGGGCATGTGTGCTGACCAAGAATTGAACCGTGACCTCCTGGTTCATAGTTCGATGTTCAACCACTGAGCCACACCAGCCAGGCAAATTAAGTATAATTTTTTAATAAAATGAGACAAATTAATTTTTCTGGCTTGTACTACTAGGCCCTACTTTTAAAAGATATGTTATCAATAGATATGTGTATCCAAAGGGGAAAACATAATTTTATTGCAGGTTATTCAGCATTTTATATGACTCAGGGTCCCTGAGGTTATTATAAACTTGCCCCTGAAATTAAGCATTCTTTCATTAAACTAGATGAAATTTTCTCCTGAATTTTTATTATAATGAAAATACATGCATTAGTCAGGATAGGCTAACTTATGTTGCAGTAGCAGGTTAACCCTAAAATCTAGTGGCTTATACAAGGGTCTATTTCTCACTTTCATGTGAGCAGGTAGCTCTGTCCTGCTCCAGTATCTCTCCATTGTTGCCCTGTCAGGGGAAGAAAACACCTAAAGAACATGCACCCATTTTGCTTTGCTTGGCCCAGAGTGACACCATTCGTTCTGTCCATAGCCCCTTGGCCAGAACTAGTCACGTGGACTGTAGGAGATGGGAAACGTGAAGAGCACAAGGATATTCAGTGAATGATAAACATCTCTGCCACAGCCCCCAAACCTCTAAAGCAGTGAGATGCTCTCAATCACATTCCAGTACTTTTATCCCCATCCCCTCACCCCAGGACAGTCAGTAGAGGAAGGAGCATAGACTGTAGGGTAAGGCTGCCCTGGGGTTGAATTCCACTTGCCCCTCATAGTAGTTGTGTGAGTTTGAGCAAGTTCTTCTGTTTCTCTCCTCCTCAATTTCGTCATCTATGAAATGGGGTTCCAACACCTACCTTGTAAGGTTGTTGCAACAAGAAGAAATTATCTACGCAATCCCTTTGTTGATTATTATCAACAGAAGGACAAGGAAATATTTAGGGCAGTAATTTTCAGCTCTTAATTCTTCAACACTTCAGATATTTCAAATTAGCTCAAGGAGTGTTGTAACATTTCAAAACGCTCTTCAACTAGGATTATTTAAAATTCCTCTTTACTTACTAAAACTGCCGGAAGCTGGTCCATCCTTGCTGCTTGACACAGTCGCTGCAGGGAAGAAACATCTGCACAGCATATGTTTCAAGGGACCTGGCGTATATGGCATACTGTTCTTAATATGTTTGCTCCCCTTCTTAGCGCTATGTGTTTTAACCAAGGTCACCTCTCCGAGAAAGGTTGTTTCCCCAGGTAGGGATTTTTCCCTGAAGTTAGGGAGGGAATAAAACCCCTTAACTAAGTGCCAGGTGGGTAATCACTTTAACTACGAACAATCACGCTTAAGCTACATAATCTTTACTCCCTGGAATGGAGATAAGAAACACCCTAACCTTTGGAATAGAAATTGATAGGATTAAAATCAACTGGTATAAATACAGATGTAACAAGACAATAAAACACAGAACTTGGCTGGAGATCCTGGCTAGAGATCCTGGCTAGGCTGCTGATCAACTGAACGCTGTCTCCATGTCATTCCTTCTTCGCCGACTCCGTCCACACCTTTGGGGACCCCTGGACCTGCTGGAGTTGGACCCCAGCATAAAACAAATCTCTGCAGGTCACTAGAAGTAGGATTAGTGCTGACATCACTCTGGGCAAATTATGAGAGAGGGGAAACCTGTCTTTATTATTCAACTTTTGCCCCTTCTGTGATATCTTCTCACCTACTCCAGCCCCCAGGCTTTGGATTAGCCTGGTGCGAATCCCAGTTTAGTCACTCTCCATTAATTAGTTAAGCATTCTGAGACCAAGTATTCTCTTCACCAAAGTTGGGACAGTCAAGACTACCTCATAGGGTTGTTTACAAGATCAAATTGCAGTTAAAGTCCTCAGCACAGAATAACTGGCTCTTCTGACTTCATTCCTTGCCATCATGCCTGAGTCTTGGGGGAGAGGAGACTATAAGTGAAAACTACCAGAGCTGTGTCACAAAAATATCCAAGAGACGATAAAAGACCAAATCAAGACCAGGTTGACCCCTGGCCAATAGGTTCAGGAAAGTAATCATGATGATGGTGATGACAAAGGTAAAGTTGGTGAGGAAAGAAGTTTGTAAGCTGTTTTCAATGATTCAAAAAGCCCAATGTCAATGATTATATTATTAACCTCTAAAAGCCTGCACAGGTTAACTAAGGTAGCAGATTTCTTTGCTTTTAGGTGGATTTACATCACCTGGGTAATGGTGATGTCATGAAAGAAATTCAGAGAGGCAAGTAGATATCATTGATAAATATTTTACTGGTAAAAATTGGGAAAACAGATCTGGTCAGTTTTTCTCAGTGGTTAGAGTGTCGGACTGTGGATCAGGGTTTCGGGTTTGATTCCCAATCATGGACATGTGCCTTGGTTGCAGGTTCGATCCCAGGCCTGATCAGAGCGTGTGTAGGAGGCAACCAGTCAATGTCTCTCTCTCTCTCTCTCTCTCTCTCTCTCTCTCTCTCTCTTTTTCTCTCTCTCCTTCCTCCCTCTCTTCCATTCTCTCTCTCTCTGAAGATCAATGGAAAAAATATCCTTGGGTGAGGATTAAAAAAAAAGTTAGAAAACAGATTACTATTATTTAATAAATAAAGTTTACTTGATAGACCAGTTCTTTCAAAAAATGGGGCCCAGGAGGAGAAAAATAGTATGAAATGTGTTCTTATTGATAGAAAGGTTGGGAAGGGAGCAACTGGCTTTGTCTGTTCCTTCTCCACTGATATTTATAATCCTAAGGGTCAAAACCAGAAGAATGAATGTTAGAATTTCAGGTACCTCATGGTAGATAGAGAAGACATTTGGTGACAGATTATGGCAGCTTCTTTTGAATTTCATGTCCAAGTCAGGCTCTATTCTAACTTCTAATTGTAAATAGTAGATATCATTTTTAATACAGGCTTTGTTTTTTCAAAACTGTCAGGCAAAATGAGATAATGACCATTTATGATATTGCTGTGCTCTGTTAAAGCTAGTTAACATTCCTTTCTGTGCAAATGTACAAGGTCACTGTGCTTTATAAGGGTGGGGAATCTTTTTACTGATGACCTGTAATTCTCCAGGATGGTTACATGTCCCAGGACAAAGCTGATTCATAATCTTCTAGGTGGGGCAAAGGTATTATGTCTTCAGCATTTCTTGCCAACTCCTTTCAGCATTTAACTAAATGATGTGGAAATCTTTTGAGAATTTTCAAGGTAACATGAAAATTAATCCTAATCCTCCCCCTAATCCAACCTTTTCCTTTTCCAAAGGCCCAAGAAAGGACAAAGGGCGTGCTCCACGTAACACAGTTAAGACTAGAACTCAGGTCTCCTGATTCCAAGTCCAATTAGATGCATAAGTGTTCTGTTTCCTCTTCCACTTTAAACGATCCCAACCCACCATTGCCTGAATCTGTTTTGTTTTGTTTTTTTCTTTATCGTCTCTAGCCTTCTACTTAATTACCTACACATTCAGATTTTCACAATCCTCCTACCTTGTCCTTACAGCATTTTAACGGGGCTTTCCAAGTTCCAATTTGAGAAATCCTGAATGAGAGGCAGGGTCTGAAGGTTTCCCTACTCTCCATTCCACGCTGAAGTTTCAAAGGACTCAAAGAGAAGCTTACCAGGAAGATATATGTCTGTTCCTCTTAGAAACAAGTCCGTTGAGGTTCCATCTATTCTGCTCATTTCTTCTTTTTGCTTCTACGTCAATAGGGGCTTTGAACATCTGTCAGATAGCAGCTTTTCACCCCCACCCCCTCCTCTCTCTCTGACACATTTAGCTACTGCAATATTAGACAAAAAATGTTTTTTTCTAAGATACGGGGTGGGGGATGGGGAGCAAAGCAGAGACATCCCAGGTGGTTCTGGCCAGGGCCGCCTCTCCCCCTAACCCACCCCAGTTGTGTGGCAAAGCGAAGCAGAGACTCTTATGGGGGGAAAATGAAGACAGGATGGAAGCAGAGAAAGCGATAACTTACAAAAGAGCTACAATTTAAAACTGAGGTATATGAGACGAGCACAGGCTGACTCATACATGATATAGCTAGAACTATGCAGAGGATGTTACAAAAAGAAGCAAACGGTACTTATAAACAAACATGCTGGCCAGCCCCCGTCCCCTACTGCTCTCATCGTCATCACTATATATAGTTCAAAAGGTTTGGGACTGTGTCCATCATGAAGAGAGAGAAAAAATGTGCTGAGCTTTTCATAATTTCTTCCATTTAAAAGAGTATTTTATATTCTGATCTTATATCCTTCCCGTTTCAGCCCCAAAACATTTCTTTTATATAACGACAGTGAAAGCAGATGATAATCGGTATTTTTTACAGGCTTCCTTGGCAACTTAAAACAACGGATCACTCTAAGTTGCCCCACAATTATTTTGGGCGGTGGTGTACTGATTTGTAAAACCCAAACAGCTGCTAATCTCCTCTCTAGGAAAATATACTCTAAATGGTACATAGTTACCTTCCTTTTCAGAACAAATTTCAATGAACACGCCCTTCAAGGAGAAGACTTAACAAAAATCTTCCTTTTCCTTCTGATCAGCTTTCTCCATAAAAATGTTCCGCAAGTAGATCAAATTAGTCATAAAAACTACTGTTAAGTGCTTAATGAAACACGTCTTCATAACCTCTGACAATTTGACAGGAGTGAATTTAATAATAGCAATAAATACAGATGGGGCTACATAAATCAAGGCGATCCAGATGCACAATTCTTGCTGTATGAGATGGCACCTCAGCTTTCTCATCTGAAATGAGCCAAGAAATTAATTTTAATGACGACCATAACAATAAAAAAATCAAAATTAAATTCATACTCTTGGAAAGAATGCCCACCGCCCACTTGACGTATCTGGAACCAACAGATCAAAGGAAGTTCCAAAGAGAAGGCAGGATTTAGGATGAGGACTGTGGCTCCTGACTTTGCTGTGAGGAGAACACGGCGGTGGCTTCCCCTGGGGTAGGCCCTCTCACTCATTTACATTGCAGGGCAATAAAAATGCAGTTGCACGAGCATTAGCGCAAAGTTGTTTAAAGAGAGAGTAGGCTTAAGACCAAAGATACTCTCAGTTCCAGGCAACCTCCCAAACGGCCTCGCCCGTCTTCCGCTAAAGAGGAGGCAGATTCTCCTCCACCCTCTGTTCTCCTCTGAACCCCTTCACCTTCCAGCACCTCCCATCCCAGGAAGAGTTTGCCCGGGATGGGCTTTGTGATGCACACCACTGCTCCCCGGCGCTTACGGGCAGACCCAGCCCACAGTACTTACAGAGCTGTTTCTCTTTGAGGATCTTCACCCTTTATGCAGCACTAAAGGCAAACACAACAGGGGCAATGAGTTTTCTGGCTTTTTAAAGGCCCATTAATCAATATTTTGAATGCATCAAGGTGGCTCAAGGGACAGGAAACCCCAATGTGTCTGATAATCTCCTACCTAAAAAATACACACCAATACAGACATGCCTAGCATACACAGCCACCCCTGCACGGTCCAGGTCTTATTTCTCTGGCTACATTGATTACTTTTATTACATCTAGAGAAAAGATGTAATTCTTAATTCAAAATGTTTCCAGGATTTGTACGTAATTGAGTATTTTTTTGTAGGAAAAATTTGCTCTGGATTGGGGAGCAGGGGTTCGGTGAATTTCTTCTTGGGAGACATTGTTGCCCCAAATAAAAGCCAGTTACCATATGTTTCAAGAAGAATGGCTTTTGCTGGATAATGAACTCGGCCGAGGCCACGCTCGCCTTTCTTCAGAGGCTTTCTGCCATATTTGCCTCCCTTGGGCACTGGGTTAACTGGTAGAGTCAAAGGCCTGGCCCTCACCCATGCACCCACATACTCTGCATCATGCTAACCAACAAGGTTAACCATTCAACAATTCAAACTCCAGCCCACCACAGCTGGGGCACGTGGCCTAACTCAAAAGGTGAGCAGTAAGTGTCACCCTTTTCGTGCAGATCCCTGACTCTTGAGCAGATGCTCCTCTCTACATTTATTTATTGTACCAGAGGTGCCATCGCCACAATAAAAGGAAATTTAAAAGGAAGAAAAATCAAAAGCCAGTGATCGTAACGCCGTAAAGTCGTAACGACCAAACGACCGGTCACCAGGAGGCGCATTGATGGGTCTTGTGGCGGGCGGGTCTGGGTCTCACACGATTTCGCGCGCTGGGCTTCTAGTAGTTTATGAAAGATGTTTATTCCCTTAAGCAACTTCCATTTTAGATTATATGGCAGAGAGACCAGATTGTCCAAGTATGGTTCCTAACTCTAGTCACTCATACAGCTGGTTCTTGGCTTTTATTTAGATGGTGTTTTACCTAAATAGCCTAGAATACTTAGATACCTTCATTATCCTTTGTCTTCTAGCAATCAGTCCGAAGCACAACGTCAAAAAGACCACAACCGTTGCAGCAATAATGGGTTCTATGGGTACACTCGAACCTCTATCTGTTGGAAATGCAAACACAGAGAACGAGAGCTAACATTTACATGCTTCTAACTTATGTACTTCTAATATGTGCCAGCCATGATGCCTTGCACTTTAACGAATACCATCCTCTTACTTAAATCCTCCCAACAATCCCCCAAAGTAGGTATTCTATCCCCATTTTACAGGCGAGGAACCGGGGGCTTCGAGAGGTTAGTTTACATGTCCCAAATCACAGACGTAGTAATGGCATTTTCCTCCCATGTTCATAGGGTAAAACAATCCCAACACGTGGGCTAACACCCTGTGCTCAAGAAAAAAGATCCGTGATGTCATCTGCAGCTTTGCATGGCCTCATTGAAACTACCCCACTGAGCCCTGCAGCTGAGAGAGGCTCATGGCAAACTTGGCGAGTAGCCTGACCACCGGCAGCAGAGTGCTTACGCTGCCAAGGCAGCCAACAACCAGGGAAGGCGTAAAGCAGGAAGAAATAAGAAAAACAAGTTGGTTTGGAAGAGCTCCACCTCAAACAAATCCTGCCCACCTGAAAGCCAGGTTGTCAAACTGGCATCCTGCTTGTCACACAAGTTGTATATCTTTTATGTGACATGGAACAATTATGATTCCTTCCTAACCGAGAGGGACAATATGTCTGCCTGTGGGCCTGACAGCCAGTCGGAATGGTATGGCCTGAGGCTCCCACCAACCATGCTTTTGTGTGTGTGTGGAGGGGGGGGCGGGGGGCAGTGAATAGCCATAGACTTCAATCTGGTGCCCCTTCCACTGATTCTTAGCTTCTTTGTGGGGTTGGTTTTTAAAGCAAGTAGCCCCTGGGCTTACTGTCACTGTTCTGCATGACAAATGACTGAACTGGGCCAGCAACCACAGTGATTGGCCACAGCAGTTCTTCCTCCCCACCAGCCATTCACCCCCTGACGGGGAGGAAATAAGAAGCCCTATGCTCCCATCAGTCCTACACTCCTGGCCGGGGTTCAATTGGCTTCCTGGGAACTGGCAAGGAAGGCAATGAGTGGGCGAATGGCAAAGTGAATAAATAATGTTCTAACAAGATATACGCGCCTCGGCTTGTTTGGCTGCTTCTAGCTTCCTGGCCCCAGACCAGGAAATGTGCGCATGAGCATTTTCGGCATCTGCTACACCAGGATCTCGCTTTTCTCTTTTTGTATGAACAAGAAATATGAGGAGGGTCAATCAGTTGGAGCTTCATTTATCCCTATATCGCAGAGGTGACAAACCTGGGTAAATGAAGCAGGAAACCAAGAAGGAACTCACCCCCACCCCTAGAGCCCCCTACTCCCTCTTCTGATTAGCCTGCATGTTACATTTTCAGAGTTAGGAGTGGTTTTAGAGATCCGTTTTCTTATCGAGTCAGCATCTTTCTTCACTATGTGTTTCTGACTTCTGTTTGTCACTAGGCTGTGAACTCAAAAGTCCAGATTTTACAAACCTTGTTGCCCAGGAGAGTTCATGGAAATACTCCCCCCTAAAAGCCTACCAGAATCATCTTCCCCCAGATAGTTCTAGAAAAGGACCTTTGCTCAAAAGGCAGTGTCCTTTAAGGAAAGGGCATCATTTCCCTAAAAGGAAGGATGAGAGTTCTTCGTGGGAAACTCCTTGAATGGGATAATTCACCAAAGAAAATCCTCGCTGCTAATCATAATTGTCATCATCATTTGTTGTCATGAAAAATACATTTTAAAATATATTTTTATTGATTTCAGAGAGGAAGAGAGAAGGAAAGAGAGATAGAAACATCAATGATGAGAGAGAATCATTGATCGGCTGCCTCTTGTATGCCCCACACTGGGGATTGAGCCTGCAACCCGGGCATGTGCCCTTGACCGGGAATCAAACTGTGACCTCTTGGTTCATAGGTTGACGCTCAACCACTGAACCATGCCAGCTGGGCATGAAAAATATTTACTGAGCATCTATTCCAAGTTTTGCACTCTGCTGTATATTATTTAAAAAGAGAGTTACCTTTGACAAAGAGGTGAAAGTCCTTTGTCTTTGTTTCCAGAGGTGAATATGCGAAACAGCTGTAGGTTCCATTGTCAGATTTCTTGACTTTGGTGATGGACAGCTGAAGAGACTCACTTGTCTGTTGGACTTGGTGATGGTTTTTCTCTAAGGTCAGGATGCTGCTGTTTCTGTACCACATCATTTGGGCCTGGGGGTTGGATTTCACATTGCAAACCAGCTTCACAGCACTGCCTTCCTCAACTGTTTGGTAGTCATTTCCACTGAGGAGCGGAGGAACTGCAAGACACAAGCATTGAGGTTTAATTAGCAGATAATGTTCAAGATCTTCAGTCTGTCTCATCTAGTCATTCATTCATTTGACAAAAATTTACTGAGTGACTACTGTATGCCAAGCACTGGGCTAGGAACCACGGGTACAATGGTAAATAACATGCATCCATTTCCAAACTTAATAGAACTTCTAATGTGGTGGAGAAGACAAACCAGGAAGCAAATATCCTATATAATCAAAGGCTAATATGCAAATTGTCCCCTCAACCCGGGAGTTCCACCAGGAATTCAGTCAGGGGGCAGGGCTGACTGGCCAACTGCCTACGGCCCCTCCCCCCATAGGTACCCCCACCCCGATCGGGGCGGGCTGGCCAGACCCCACCCGTGCACGAATTCATGCACTGGGCCTCGAGTATATAATAATGAATCTGTACCAATTTGTAACACTAACCAATCTGTGCTAGTGGTGGATAAAACAGTATAATGTTAAGAAAGCAGGCATTGCCCTGACCAGTTTGGCTCAGTGGATAGAGCGTTGGCCTGCAGACTGAAGGGTCCCGGGTTCGATTCCGGTCAAGGGCATGTGCCTTGGTTGCAGGCACATCCCCCGTGGGGAGTGTGCAGGAGGCAGCTGATCGATGTTTCTCTCTCATCGATGTTTCTGACTCTCTATCCCTCTCCTTCTCCCTTCCTCTCTGTAAAAAAATCAATAAAATATATTAAAAAAAAAAAAAAGAAAGCAGGCATTGCAGTGGGCTCTCATTCCAACTACATCACTTACTGTGACCTTGGGAAAGTTACTTAACTGCTAAGTAACTGCTCAATTTCCTTATCTAAAAAGTGGGATCATAGCTACCTTATGCATTGCTGTGGAAGATGAAGTGAGATAATGCCTGTAAAGAATTTCTCACCGTGCTGGTTAGCACGATCATTACCGTATGGTGGTTTTGAGCACTCCTCACAACCTCCACTTTCACATTTGCTCTGACCACACATTTACCAGTGCGTGTTTGCATTTCCTCAACAGTCCTCTAGAAATGATGTCCCCCTCCCAGAGGTGTTCCAGTCGTGGCAACTCCGGCGTCTATGGACGATGAGCGTGGCTTCCTCACTCCCTTTCATTCCTCCGTGCGAGCAACTCCTTACTTCCTCCATGATGAGGGCAGTTACAGACCCATCGATAGTCGGACACATTTATCGTCACCAAATAATCCGACCCTCCTCCCCACCAGGCCTTTCCAACCTTTAGGAGGAGAAATGGCTGAGCTGACTCTCCCCTCTTCACGCCCTTTGCAGTTTCTGGCCAGGGTGCAAAAGAGTAATGAAATGCCCGAGAAGTGGGCTGTAGGAAAGACGTCAAGGCGGAGAAGGAGGGAGGAAGGAGCCTGTATAATCTGCACACTGAATAATTAGACCCGGAGAAGGCTGTGCTATTAATAACTCTCAGAAGAATGACATTTTGCTGCTCTTTGGAATGAGCTTGAAGTCTGTATCTGTATCCAACAAGGATGTGTGATGGCATTCAGATATGTAGGAAGCTGCTTGAATACAGAACATAGTTGCCAAACATAACCAGTTCCACCAGTTCCACAGGTCCTATCAGTTGTTGCTTTTTATTTAACTATTTAAAATTAACATAAGCTCATCAGCTATATGTATTTCTTTAAAAAAAAAAAACTGACTATGTAGCTCAGTTGGTTAGTGTGTTGTCCTGATATGCCAAAGTTGCAGGTTCGATCTCCCCAGTCAGGCACATACAAGAACCAGCAAATGAATGCATAAATAGGTGGAACAACAAACAAATAGATCTCTCTCTCTTTCTCTCTCATCCTTTCTCTTTCTCTCTCAAATCAGTACATTAAAAAAAAATACATTTCATGCCTGGTCAGTGTGGCTCAGTTGGTTGAGCATCATCCCAAGCACCAGGAGGGCACCGGTTCAATTCCCAGTCAGGGCACATGCCCCGGTTGTGGGCTCGATCCTTAGTGGGGTGCGTACAGGAGGCAGCTGTTCAATGTTTCTCTCTCTCCCTTCCTCTCTCCAAAAGTCAATAAAACATATTTAAAGTAATAATAATACATTTCAGATAAAGTTCAGGTCCTCCTTGACTCTATCCTCATAATTTCCTGACTTCTTAGAGATACCCATCATTATACATTTCATATAAATCCTTGCATCTTTTTTTTAAAAGTAGGCTATTTTTTTTTACATATAATGTACCCATAGGAAATATATTGTATTGTTTTAGGAGGGTGAGAAGGGTTTACATGAAAGATTGAATTCTTTCAATAACTTGAATATTTTTTAGGTATATCCACATTGAACCACAGAGATCTAGCTCATTGCTTTTATTTTTATTTATTATTATTTTTTAATCCTCACCCAAGGATATTTTTCCATTGATTTTTAGAGAGAGAGTGGAAGAGAGAGGGAAAGACAGAGAGAAATATCGATGTGAGAGAAACACATCGCTTGGTTGCCTCCTGCATGAGCCCTGATCAGGGCCCGGGCCAGGGAGGAGCCTGCAACCGAGGTATGTATCCTTAACCGGAATCGAACCCGGGACCCTTTGATCCATAGGCCAATGCTCTATCCACTGAGCCAAACCGGCTGGAGCTAGCTTATTGCTTTTAGAGTCCTATAGTGGAATATATGACTCTAACCATGTTATTTTGATGGGAATTCGGTTTTATTCATTTTTAAAATGTTAAACAGAGCTTCAATAAGTATGCTTGTATATGTCTCTACGCACATGTGCGTGTGTTTCTCCAAGGTTAACGTCTAGAAATAGAGATGCTGGGTCTCATAGGGTAAACACACTTGAAATTTTGAAAGATATTGCAAAAGAGGTGGTCTCGATTTATGCTTTCAGCAACAGTGTATGAAAGAACCCATTTCTGCGCACACTCCCCCAAATAGTGTATTATCAACTGCTATTTATAATAATAATACTTTCTCAGGACTTTACATGCTATTCTTGTCATCATTTATGGCCTCATTTTGACTTATTGATTAATGAGTATCAGTTTGTCACTATGAGCCACTGACCAACTGGCGACAACAATATTTCAGAGGTTGTTATACAGATGATTATGGATTCAGGTTGGAAAACGAAAATCTTTTTCTTTAAAGCCACCAAATGATGGCATTTCTGCCGTGCCTCCCTTAAGAAGGTACAAGGGGAAGAACACTAGATTAAGAGCCTGGGGGTTGTGTTCTGCTCCCAGCTCCCGCTGTGATAATTCTGGCCTCAGTCTGAGCCTCAGTTTCCTCATTTGTCACGTCATAGGCATTACAAGACCCCCAAGGGCCCCTGATAGTTTTGTGTTCTATCAAAGTATGCAAAGGGAAGCTTGCTAAAAAATCACATTTCATTAATTCATAGCAAATAAAAAAACAAAACTCCTTTTCCCAGGAACAAGCAAATGTTCGCACTGGAAACTCAAGCTGCAGGTCGCCAGTATTTTCCAGAGCTGGATTCTTTGGCATTTTCTCCACCCTTTTATCTCAGGAGCAGTGGCATCAACTTTTCACAGAAAAGCCTGCTGAACGTGAGTCCAGAGCTCTTTCTACCAAATCCCTACCACATCATCACCCTAACCCACATCACCCCTCACCCACCACCCACACCACCCTCATGTCGAATCATTTAAAGGACCCCTAACGCCATATAGTTCCACCAGTGGGTGACCAATTCCTGCAACCCAGCCATCAAAGAGCTTCATCTTTTGAGGTTTTAAACATGAACAACCAATATATTCATGAAAAGGTGAACACCCTCATTCTTTTTTTTTTTAATCCTCACCCGAGGATATTTTTCCATTGATTTTTAGGGGGAGTGGAAGAAAGAGGGAAAGACAGAGAGAAACATTGATATGAAAGAAACACATCAATTGGTTGCCTCCTGCACGCACCCTGACCAGGGCCCGGGCCAGGGAGGAGCCTGCAACCGAGGTGTGTGCCCTTGACCGGAATCGAACCTGGGACCCTTTGGTCCACAGGCCAAAGCTCCATCCAATTAGGGCCACCCTCATTCTTAATTTTTGAAATTCAAATAAAATTTTATATCAAGCTGGCAAATGACACACTCAGTGCTCATGAGTTGTGGGGAAATAGGCCCCTTGGTGCTTTGCTGTGGGAGCGTAAGTAGGACAATTTGGCAATATCAAGCAAATGTTACAATGCACATACTCTTTAGACCCAGACTTCAGCTACCCCTGAGTGCAGTGCAGACCACACCGACTGGCTCACAGTGTCTCTCCTTTTACTCACAAGGGACGTTCAGCACCACAGAGATGGACACGGACTGGTCCCTCTGCAGCTTGCAGGTAAAGGTGACTCCATTGTCATCCTCACTGATGGCAGTCACACAGACGGCGCTGGAATTGATTTTGTTTTCGGACTTCAAATCCACTGCCCCCCCTTCTCGGAACCAGAGAAGTCCTTCGTCCCCCGTGTGGTTCTGAACAGCACACTTCAGAGATTCTTCGGAGCCCAGCTGAGTGTTCAGAACGTGGCTCTCGGTTTTCCCATTCACAGTTAAAACAGAGCCTGGGGGTGCAGGAGGAAACTATTACCACAGAGTGAACAACCTAAACGACCCTACATGTTTCATCAGAACAATGAAATCAAGGTAGTCGTATCGATCTGTGTGATTTTACCAGGAAAAGGGTCCGTCCTGTATTATTGACTACAGGAAGGAAAAGCTGCAAATGGTTACCAAATTTTGCTGCACCTTGGAATCACCTGGAGATTTTTAAAAAATTGCTGATGCCTTGATCCCACCCCAGACTTTCTTATTAATTGATAGGAGTGCAACCTGGGCATGGATTTTTTTTTAAAGCCCCAGATGATTCTAATGTGTAGTGAGGTTTGAGAACCATTGAGTTAGAAAACAGTATGTACAGAATTACTCTATTTACACACACACACACACACACACACACACACACACAAACACACACACATTTATGAGGAAAAGTGTTGGGGAAAAATTCTATCTATATATATATAGGGAATAGCATTGATGAAAATAGAGAAAAAAGTAGAGAAATGCTTACCAGATTTAATTTGTTTACTTCAAGGGGTTGGATGTAGCAAAGTGGGAGTGGAGAAATACAAAGAAATACAAAGAAAAAAAGCACTATAGTAAAATGAAAAAGTATTTAAGACGAAACATTAAGTGAATAGGCAGAATATAAATTATCTCTAATAATTACTATAAATGTATCAAAATTGCATATGGGCAAAAGCTGATTGAAAACATTTCTGATTAGGTGATAGAATTTGGTCTTCCATATCTGATGATTTAATATTGTGTTGGCAATGCAGTGAAATAAAAAGATATTTAAACAGCTGTGGTTTGTGGACAGATAAGTCATTATGAGGTGGATGATTAGGATATAAAGTACTTTGTTTTCATTTCTCATTTTTAGAAACTCATCCATCATATAACATACCCAAATTTCAGTTTTTACTTTCCTGGTTCAGAAGCAAGTAACAAAAGGTAAAAAGTAACTTTAGCCACCAGAAACTTGCCCCCTATATACCATTGGTTAAAATAGTCTGTAAACACATTAACTTTAAAAAACAAACAAACAGAAACGACTGGAAAAAAATAATGAGACTTCAGCCTAGGTTTTGTTTGTTGGTTGCTTTGTTTTTTAATCTGGGAGAATATACACCAAAACGTTGAATGGCTGTGTTTGGATGATGGGATTTGGTGGGATTTTTACTTTTATAAATAGCATGTCCCACAAATGTATATACACATATTGAATCATTATGAAGGCAGTCTTTATTGAAATACATTTCATTTTCAAAATTGAGCTACCAGCTGTTAAAGGATGTATACATTTTTTGAGACACCCTGTATTTCCTAATTTATTTTACAGCGACTATATATTACTTTTAAAATGGAGGGGGAAAGCTAGTTCTAGATTGGGGCAGGGAGCAAATGCAGGAAAGATTTTTGTGTAAGTGTATGTTCAAATAAACTTCAGATTATTTTGGGTATGATTAGTAATACAATGCATTAAAATGTAGGGAAATTGTGGCTGTGGCTCTGGAGAGAATAGGATACTTCTATACTAGGAGAACCATAAAAATATTTTCCATTTAAATTTTATGATGTTATCTGACTCCTATACTCTGAACCAGAGCAACTATGTCTTCATTCCAATTTGGATTTTGGATTTTTCCAATGCCCACCCATCATTTTTAACCTGAACTTTTTTTTTATTTAAAGAGGCGAAAGAAATATGAACTTACTTGTCATTCCACGTGGCAGAAATAAGATCACTAAGAGAAGAAAGCTGCACATTCGCATTAGGCCGCTGCTCTTCTGTGCCATCTTTAACGAATTTAAGTCGGATCTGGGGGTGGGGGTGGGAAGAAAATGTAGTTGTTTCTGTACTTTGAGCTACACTGAGTTTATGAACCTTCGTCTTGTCCATTATGCACTTACAGTGAAGTACCAGATGAGTCATCCCAGTTATAATGATGATATTTTTAGTTTTCAAAAAATCCCGTTCTGACTCCTAAGTTCTAAGTGCAATGAGGAGAGAGAATCATTGATCGGCTGCCTCTTTCCCACCCCACACAGGGGATCAAGCCCACAACCCGGGCATGTGCCCTGACCAGGAATCGAACCGTGACCTCCTGGTTCATGAGTCGACGCTCAACTGCTGAGCCACGCCAACCAGGCTTAAAGCATGCTAATCTCTACTTTCCCCCATCCCTCCACTGTTCTCCTTTTCGTGATACTCCTTAAGGACTCCTTCACCCAGTGTGGACTAAAACAATAAATAATAAAGGCTTCTTTTTCTCCTGTGTTTTGCTGTTGCCATTCCCTCCCTAAAATATTCTCCACTTCCATCTAGAAAAAAAAATGTATTTACTTCCTTTCAAGAGTACACTATGAATATAGTAGAACCACATCTGGAGTGTTTTCTGTCCAACAGACATGGTGCCAAACACTTTACATACGTTATTTAAATACCAGTTAAGCTTCTAACAGCCCTTCTGAGGTCATTTCTAAAGGTTTGGAGAGATTATATAATTTGCCCAAGATCCCAAAGACGGTAAATACCAGGCTCAGGATTTGAACCCAGGACTCCCAAGGCTGTGCTCTTAACCACTCTACTGCCTAGATTAGTATTCTCTTCTTTTAAGAAGCTGCTGTGGCCCTGGCTAGGTAGTTCAGTCGGTTAAAGTGTCATCCTTATACACTAAAGTTTTTCGGGTTCAATCCCCTGTCAGAGCATATACAAGAAGCAAACAGTGAATGCATGAATAAGTGGAAAAACAAGCTCTCTCTCTCTCTCTCGCTCTCTCTCTCTCTCTCTCTCTCTCAAAAAGGAAAAAGAAAAAGAAAAAGCTGCTGTTAATCCTTCCAGTCCCTGCCTACTCCACAGACCTTAGCAACTTGGAGTTTTGACCCCATCCCAGGCCTGTCCTGACAGGAGTCAGTTTCGTTCCTGCCAGGCTCACCCTATCTGGCTGGCAAGCCCGTATCAATCTTTCAACAAGAGACAATTAGTACTAATATTGATTCTTTTGTAACTTTTCAATTTTGCCAAAAAGATTATGACACGTGGTAACGGCAGTGATTTCAGAAGTCGGTCATTAATAGAGTTTTCTCAAGCACAGCTCCCTGTGGGTGCTCAGTAGAAACTGAAAGTATACTAGCACCTTCTTAAGGAGGAAGATTGATTTCTCCCCTTCCCTTCCACCCGGCCAAGGTAGCAACTTTTCAGAACGGATTTCCCTCAGCTGACATGTTTTCCCACTTACCTGCGGAGCTTTGAAAAGCTGACTCCCTTGGCCAATTGTTCCTCTGTCTGAGAACCCTGAATCCTTTCCCCGCTGCCATCTTTATAATACTTGAATTTGAACGCTTTATGACAGTAGGGTCAAGTAAATAATTAAATTGGGTTCAAAGTCTGTTTCTTTTTATGGATTCTTAGAGAAGACAGTAATTAGGAAAGACATCTTCTTAAGATCTAGGTGTGTATGGATACCTAAGTTACTAGGTGGGGCCAGGTTTTACTACCAGGGATGTCATTGCTCCAGGAAAGCCTGAGCTTATGCAGAAAATTGTAGCTCATCTCACTGAACATGGTCATGCTCAGGTTAGATGACTAATAATCTGACATCCTGAGAATTTGACCAGTGTCCCTGGGCTGGCCCAGAACCATCCCTCGCTTGGGTCCCGCCTGGGTGCTGCTCTCCCCACCCACCCACCCCGCGCCCCTTGCCGCCCTTGGGGCAAGTCTGAGGAGAGGTTTGATTTTCACAGCAGCCAAAACATTAGAGGATTTCACACAACTTAAATCATGCTAGGAAAGTATTACTTCCCACTGGTACCCCAGTGTGTGAATTGCACCACGCCAGCCATGGCAGGGGACAGGTCTAGCCCTTTGAGGGTCTCACCTGATAGGGCAAACCTTGCATTTACACTTTCAAGAATTAGCAATTGAGGATATCTATTTTTTATTGGTTTAAAAATACATATGTTTTTAATATATTTTATTGATTTTTTACAGAGAGGAAGGGAGAGGGATAGAGAGTTAGAAACATCGATGAGAGAGAAACATCCATCAGCTGCCTCCTGCACACTCCCCACTGGGGATGTGCCCGCAACCAAGGTACATGCCCTTGACCAGAATCGAACCCGGGACCTTTGAGTCCGCAGGTTGACGCTCTATCCACTGAGCCAAACTGGCTAGGGCTAAAAATACATATGTTTATGGGATTGTTACAATGTGAATTTTATCTGTCATGTACTATTGTCCCAATTACATGAGAATAGAATAAAAGGTTCTTTATGTAAATTTGCACATTTTGACACATCGGTTAAGCACATCAGAGGTCTACTTCTTGCTAGCTGTGTGACTCCAAAAAGTTACCTAACCTCGATGAGCCTCAGTTTTTCTTCAATAAAATGGGGGTAATCATAATGCCCTCCCTACACAGTCACTGTGAAAGTTAAATGAAATAAAGCATGTGAAGGGCCACACAGTAAGCACTTAATAAGCAGTCACTATTGTTATTATTAATGTAGGCTGGGCAGGACATAATAAGTCAGCACAGCACCGCCATGAAATTGTTCCGGGAAGAATCACAACTAAGAGCAGCTCCTGCTGGCTGGGCTGCAAGCACCCTCTGAGCAGGTTTGTGTCCGTGTCTCTGTGGCTCTCAGGGCAGGCTGTTTAATATGATCACTTTTAAAGGAATTGATGTCTTGACCAATTCATCAGGGCACTTTGGGTCCCTCCAAAGTAGACATTAGACAAAGCTTTGGTTTCTTTAAAGCTGATCTAAATCGTTTCCTTAAAGCTGATCTCAGGAAGCACAGTAAGGAAGTGAGATAGGGAAGGGAGGGAAACCAATAAAGGGTGTGTTGATAAACAGGTTACTGCTGTGGGCAACTGTGTCCGAAACATAACTCAGAATCAGCTCATGAGGGCGTAGGAAGCTTGGGTATTTATCCACCAAGTTCTCTCCATCCATGGTTGAGGGACACTCTTGGAGTGTTGACTCCCCAGCACCCCCAGCCTACCCTGTGAGGGCAGAACACACTATCTCTGTCCATCAGTCAATGTTCAGGTACAGGCACTCAGGAAGTCACCTGCCATATAGAAATATGGGTGGCATCTAGGCTGGCCAAGGGGATGTGGGTAGGGCACCAATGTCAACTTCTACAACTGGATATTAAATGATATTAGGAAATAATGGTTAATTCTTATGTATGATAATGGCATTGCAGAATGTCCTTATCCTTCGGAGATGCCTGCTAAAGTATTTATGGATTAAGTGTGATGATGATGATTGAAATTAACTTTCAAATGATTCAGCAGAAATAAATAAATACACATACACAAAGCAAATATAGCAAAATATTAACACACTGAATCTAGAATCTAGATCAGGTTAAACAGATCTTCATTATACTATTTCAACTATTGGGGGAAAGTATTCGGTGGTTTTTATTGAGTACCCTTTATGTGCTGGGTGCTCAAAGCATTGGAGATGTCAGTGCCATCCAAGCCAATATGGTGTCTTTCTCATCTATATATATATAAAAGCTTAAGCAACTGTCTGACCATTCAACCGTCCGGTTGGTAGCTATGATGTGCAACGACCACCAGAGGGCAGATGCTCAACACAGGAGTGCCAAGTCACAGCAACTTAGCAGAGTGCCCACTCCCACTCTGGGACCCCTTGGGGAATGTTGGACTGCCAGTATTGGCCCAATCCCCACAGGCCAGGCCGAGGGACCCCACCTGCCAGAGGAACCCCTCTCGCTCCACAGACACCCTTCAAGCCACGGCGCTGCCCCCGGTGAGGCTGGCGGGAGGGACTGCGGGAGGTTGGCTCCAGGGCATGTCCAGCCCCTCTTGCCCAGTCCCACCACGCCATCCACCTTCTAATTAACTTCCTTTCAATGTGCACTAATCCGTGCACTGGGTCCCTAGTGAATTAACAAAAGACTTGGGTTCTCAAGTCACTCTACTGCCATCTGTGGAAATTGTTTTAATAGCTGTACGAATCTATGATGCTACAAGATGAATGGTGCTCCCTGAACCCCACAACATGAAGTGGGTACCCTGGGAGATACAAAGGTGAGCAGAACAAAGCTCCTGGTCTTCAAGTGCCTTCCATTCTAGAGAAGAAAGTTGGTGGTCAGGAGCCAGGGACAGTGCGCTCTGCTGGAGAGAATTTCACATGTGAAAAATGGTGTCATGGCGCCCCTTCTGGAAAATCGAAGAAGTGACAAGATTTGTCCAAGGTCACATATCATCCCTGGAGCATTCCTCTTCCTTGGAACTGACAGAGGAGAAACCATTTCTCCATAAGTAGTTAAGCCTCGTAGTTAACCATTAAGCCGAGGTTGGTTGGCTGGTTGGAGTATTAACAGATCTCAATACCTCATAGCTCAGGCCCAGAGAGAAGGGAGGCAGCCTCGAATCTGGAAACTCTTGGGAGTAGAAACCCATCTGCTCCACATCGGGCTCATGCACATCCGGACAGAGAAGGGGGTCCAAGAGCTGGCAGCCATGGCGTTCTGGTTTAAGTGAATGGAAGAAGCTCTGGGGAGTCTCCAGGCACCTTTCCTTCATCGGTTCTGATGAGACTCGGAAATCTCATCCTTAACAACCTGCCGGGTGTGACCGGCACAGCGGCCCAGGAATTTCATTTTAAGAACCATGGGCTACAGGGCTAAGCATTGATGAGGGTCATAAAAGTCAAAGCCCCTCAGCTAAGGGGGCATGCCCAGCACAATGCCTAGTGCATGGTGGGCACTAAAGAAACTTTAGTGGAAGGAAGGAAGGAAGGAAGGAAGAAGGAAGGAAGGAAGGAAGGAAGGAAGGAAGGAAGGAAGGAAGGAAGGAAGGAAGGAGTCACGGCCTTCACATCTGCTGTCACAAGCTGATGTAACAGAGGCAGCAGCTCAGCAAATGGCTGGAGGGTCACAGGCCAGCAAAGGTCATCTGGCCAGGTCACTGGAAATGCCATTAAGGGCTTTAAAGTGACAGTAAAGCTAGAAATCTGGTAGACACAGCCTAGTAATGATAAATGGGTCTTTGAGCAATGCAAGGACACAGTATGATAATTTTTTCATCTAGCATCCGACACAGTGTCTACTAAACTGCTTAAAATCGGTCATGGAACTTCAAAATTTCCAGCTTAAACAGTGGCTAATGATTCTCTAATTTCCCATCCTCCATTAGGATTCATTCCTTCATTACCAAAAAAATCTCAGGCCTAGGGTTGCCAAATTTGGCAAATAAAAATACAGGATATCCTGTTAAATTTGGATTTCATGTGAACAATATCTTTTTAGTATAAGTATGTTCCATGAATCAACTATCTATTAATTCACAACAAAGCCAATATTTGGTATATATTTATAATTTTAAAAATCATTTTTTAAGTATAAGTTAAATCATTCAGATTTAACTAGGTGTTCTGTCTTTTACCTGGTATTCCTACATCTGATCCTCCCTTATTTTAATAGGTGAGGAAATGAAGTTCAGAGAGGTAAAAGGACTTGTCCAAAGTGATGCTGGGGTTAGAATTCATTTACGATTCCTGGCTGCCACACTACATCCTTTTCCAAGTGTCTTACTTCAGAGTTTCTGAACTTGACTTCTTGAACCACTGTGGATGGGTAAACGTGTGTGTGTGTGTGTGTGTGTGTGTGTGTGTGTACATGTATATGTGCACATGGGTATTTTTCTAGGGAGATGGTCTCTGAATTTTTTATTTGCTTCTCAAGAGTCATAACTTAAAGATTAAAATGCGCTCTTTCACAGTACTATGCTCTGCTCTCACATGCAGAAGACTTATTTCTTTGGGCTGAGGTCATTTTTCTGCTTCCTCTGTATCTCTTCATTCCCTGGAACAGCCCACTCATGCCAGGAAATGGGTACCTGCAAGTATACGGGAAAATCTCCACTACATCCTCGCCAGGCCACACAGCAGAAGCCATCCTACTCTCCGCAACCGACCGGTATCCAAACCCCAATTCCTCTGGTCCATGCTGTATTTTCCTCCCTCCACCTCCTAGAATTGACAACCTGGAGTTGACTGGCCAGAACGCAGTTAGGAGAACAGCTGGAAGGTAGCAGAGAGGTGGCCTTTGAGGTTGACCACTAGAGGTCCCTTCTCATCCACTGTGGTTTGAAGTCAGACTTTGCTAGGGTTTAAAGAAGGTACTTCCTTAAACCAATGGGACGGTGTCTGCCTGTCACAGGCGTGACGGGTGTATTCTGTACCAGGCAGTGTGAATAGCCAGCCGGGGGCTACAGCAGGC